TCTTGGTAGGGAATATCGGAATATTATCCAGATAAATCCCAGTAAGCTAGTGAGGATGCTAGCAGCTAATAAGGCAGGCATAGAGCTCGCTGGATTCTTCTAGCAACCATCGTTGCCAGCTCAGGCTAGCAGGAATACTCTTGCGAGGGCTGCGGTCAATGCTGTCTTCTTTCTTTGGCAAGAACCCGTGTTCCGTCTTCTGGAATTCTTCTAGTGGTTAACCCAGCTGCCAGGTTTTGACAGCCCAATACCTCAAATCGCGCGACCAACCCCAAACCCTAAACCCTAAATCCCATCCCCTCCAGGGCTCAACCCACACTACCTACGGCCCATGAACCAGCTTGAAGGCTCCTGGGCAATTCTAGTCCGGGATCTTCACAACAACTACATTTGAATGCATAAGCCCTCATACAACGATCCATGAATACCCAAGTATATACCCCATAACCATAAGCCCTATATAGCCCATTGTAGTAGTTTCCATGTTATTTCCTATTATCCCCATACAAAAGCCACGCAATGAAGGCAAGGCGCAGGCACTGCGAGTAGTGATCGTTTCCCCAGACACAGGTCAAGCCCTCTACGCAACAGTTTGAACCTCAGAACGCACAAGTTTGACATCACACAGGCAACATGTTTCATGATGACGCCCCCTGGCATGCCATTTGCTTCACTGAACACACACAGACGGACCCCGACAGTGAAGTTTGCTCTGTTTACGGATGACATGACCTGCATTCAGTAAAATTCCAAAAAAAAGGCTCACAGAGTCCAGTCAGTCAAAGAAACCGACACCTGCGAGCATGACAAGGGGTGTTCTGCCGAGAAGAAACGCCTTGTCCAGGAACCTATCACTCTCGCCCAACAAACTAAGGCTAACATTGACAGCAGCTCGTAACATAAACTACGACATAACCCTAGTTTCCATTTCATCTTCCCTTTTGTTTTTCATTTGATTCTCCATTACTGGGGTAGTATCCCTATATACCCCTTAAAGGGACTTAGGGTTTTCATTTCATGTTCCATGTTCTTTTCCCTTTGATTCTCCATTATTGGGGGGAATAACAAACACGACTTCAAGTTGCCAATCAATATCTGCAATATGTCCAACACAAAATGCGTACGATCACGGTAGTTACAGCCTCGGCTGCAACAAGCATCACCGTCGTCGCAGCAGTGGTTAGTATATGTTTGAGAACAATCACAACAACAGTTTGTGGCGAAGGCAGCAGGTGTACAAGTCAAACAGTCGAACTACTAGTGCATGAATGCTTGGCAGATACTGACAGCCCCACACATTAACAGTCTATCATGCGGGGTCATAGTAAGGGCTCTATATATATATATACAAGTATATTACAAGTATTATCCAACTGGTTGCGAGTGAGGCAGTACCCAACCCAGAGTGAATGCTCAAAAGCAAGAAAGATATTCCGAAATCCCATAGCCTTGCACCCTATGCAAACCACCCTAAACCCTAAACCCTAAACCCTAAACCCTGGCAATCTACAGCTCGCCTGAAAGACTCCAACTGCTAATGAGAGGCCCGTCCAGCCAGCTCCACCACACCTAACAAGAAGGTTGTTGATGTGGAGGGTACAGATGGGCTTAGGCCCCCACATTGATATCATGCGGCTCTAACTTCAGAAAAGCGAGAAGAACATAGGGCAGTTCACCTCTGATTCAGAAACTCGCCCTCAGAGTAACCACATTCATGACGGGAAAGCTCATGTCAGAGGGCAAGCTTGAATCAAAACCAAGTTTCAAAAGCGTTCCGAATTTAAAGAAGGCCTGAAATGCGAGAATGATGGTGCCTATACTCACCCGCACCATACGTATACAACCCATTCTAGTCCCTGCGTTCACTCCCCTATAGCTCCCCCTCAAAGACTCGTAAGATGAGGCTTTGCATCCCTCGTCTCACAATTCAAGTCGAGCTTCTGCTGCCAGATCTGTGCACAGGACACCTGCTTGTTTCTTGAGAAAATTCGCGGGTTTTGGCTTCAGGGCTTGGGGTTTAAGGCTTAGGGTTTAAGGTTTAGGGTGGTTCAGGGCTTAGGGT